TATTAAAGACGGATTGGATCGGCGTCTGCAGTGACGCGGACGCTGAGCCGATCTGTCGTGGTGAAGAGGGAGCTGAGCCAGAAAGCCAGGCTCTCGATTTGCCGGTCGATCTACGTCCCAATCCTCACCTATGGTCATGAGCTTTGGGTGATGACCGAAAGAACGAGATCACGGATACAAGCGGCCGAAATGAGTTTCCTCCGTAGGGTGGCCGGGCTCAGCCTTAGAGATAGGATGAGGAGCTCGAACATTCGGGAGGGACTCGGAGTAGAACCGCTGCTCCTCCGGATCGAAAGGAGTCAGTTGAGGTGGTTTGGGCATCTGGTCAGGATGCCTCCTGGACGCCTCCCTGGGGAGGTGTTTCGGGCATGTCCTGCCGGCAGGAGGCCCCTGGGTCGACCCAGGACACGTTGGAGAGGTTACATCTCCAATCTGGTCCGGGAACGCCTTGGGGTCCTGCCGGAGGAGCTGGTGGAGGTGGCCGGGGAGAGAACGGTCTGGAGCTCCCTAGTTGGGATGCTGCCCCCGCGACCCGGACCCGGATAAGCGGAGGAAGACGACGACGAGACAATGATGACATTGAACTATTAAAACTTAAGAAATAAGTCAGAATTGACCTTTTTTTAACAAAATTATTCTACAAAAATCTTGAAACACTCGTTTGTTCTTGGTTCTGATCTGGCAGACTTTGTCATCTTTCTAGTAATTCAGATAAAAAATCTCCAAACTTTCTGCAACTTAGTTTTTCTGGGCTTGTGGCTGCTTTTTCCTCAGAGAAAAGATTTTCACTTAGACCTTTTTTCCATTCAGGCACAAGAAAGCCTCCTTAGCATTTTGTGTGGTTGGCACAAACTTGAATTAAAACGGATTATCATGTTTAATTCCTACTTCTTTTGTCAAATGCGTGCAAAACTACCAAAGAAAACACAGTTTCATGCATAAGATGATTCTCAACCAGTAGTTTCTGCCATCAGTCACAAAAAACCATCAGCAGCTCTTCCTGTTGTATGAACATCTTGGTTTTTATTCCATGCCACTCTTTGCAATGGAAGCTCAAAGCATCATGTGTCTAACTGAGCCATTTCTTTATGATGCATTCAGATTTAATCAGTCAGAATTCACTAAATCTTCGCGGCAGCTTTGCTGCAGTGCCTGATGCATCTTCCTGCAAGACCTAACCCATTCCTGATGGCATTTTACCAACTTTTTTAAAAATACGAGGTGAAACGATTCTTTATAAGGTCCCAGAGAAACTGGGTGATTTGGTCTTTGCTTGTTGCAGATTTAAAAACAGACATATTCTTCACTTCTCGATACAAAAGAAACATCTAAACAATCCAGAGTCATAATATTGGTGTGTTTAAAGCATCCCAGAGAACCTCGCTTCCATTCAGCAGACAGAAATAACCTGTTTGGAGTCGTCCCCCAGCAGCCATTATGATCCAGGAGAGTTTAATAAGCCCTCTGCTCTGGTCTGCACCTTTTCTAAAACGTAAATGGAGTATTAAAGATGCATGAGATGAACGTGCTCATTGTCTCCTTCGGTGACCTCTAAGCATCTCGGCTCATCGTAGTAATTAGGTGCTGGGTTTGGAAACGTCACCGCGCTCTCTTCGTTTTAGCCGGGGATAAAATAGACTCCCGATGCCTTCCAAGGATCTGACGCTCCTGTGAGTTATAGAGACGTAAAGGAAGACGGGATCTATAGAAAACCATAAAGCCTGAGAGTTGGGAGCTAAAACAAAGCTTAAATACACAAATGAGCTCATTAAAACTAACACAGACGACCTCGGTGGAGAGAGCTGCGTACAGATTTGTGTGATCGAAATTGCTCAATCTGTTTCCTATTTTCTCGTCTGAACATCAAAATGGACAAAAATGACCGCCAGTTGTGATGTGCTGACACGTTGTGTAATCAAAATCTGAGAAGGAATCAGCCATCAGAGCAGCACAAGACCCAAAACCCAAACAGTCTGAACCCACTCACTGTTATTCCATAAACTAGTGTGTGTAAACACTCTGACGCTACAATGTGATTTGGCTTTGAGGGGACTGGCGCAAACGGCTTCGGTGACTTACGTCATGCTCGGGAGTCCAATCACAGACCCTCCTGTCACATTAAGCAGGGGAAAAAAGTCTATTTCACTCGTTTCAACAAAAAAAAAGAGGGAAAAAGAGGAGGAGGAGAGGGTAAACAAGCTCAGCGTTCCACAGCAACCACAGAATTCATCATTCATACAAAAAAAAAAAGAACTTCAAGCCCCAAAGTAGAGCTAATTTAATCTGAGAGGAATAAAACTCCGTTTCATAGGAGTCGTCCATTCAGAACGCTCATATTTCCACTGAACTGGAACCCCCGGCTGAAACTCGAGCAGACACTTTTCGGAAGGAATGCATTGGGTGGGTTGAGGGCCGAAGCTCGCCCTGTAATTTGTGAATGTACCGAAATGAGCAACGGCCACAGTTTCTTCTAAAGATAGACGTCTTTGTCTTGTGTCATCACCGAACCCTCAAAGTATTTCTAATTGCCCCTGTAGCCCCCTTTTTTTATTTCAAATGATTTTTTCTTCTACCCAAATGGACAACCAGCCATCCAAAGGGCTTACGTGTACTGGATCTGAAGTTAGCTCAACAGATAGAGTTTTTATAGTGCATCTGAGACAGTTTCCAGTTTGAAAGTGGCACCGAAAGCCGTGTGGGTGGCATTTAGAGGCAGGTATACATTGCAGACCCCGGAGGCTTCCTCTGGTTTCTCTGCTAGCGTGGATCACTCTCATATAGGCCTTTACATTCTGACTCATTACCCCCAAAAGCTTCACACAAGCGGTTTAAAGCAAACTCACTGAGGAATCTGCACATCTTTGCCTTCCTTTCCACTCAGGTTTGATTTGGGAGATGTCCGTTAGCCTCATTTTGATGCCAGGTGGAATATTTCTCATCCCAAGTCAGATAAGATACAAGTTTTCACAAAACAACCACCAGTAAGCAGAGATGAGATCTTTAGATTTGTGGGATCTGTTTTCTTCTCTGTCCCTGTGTAAAGGAGCGCAGAGGTGGGTTTCACATATCCTCAAGGAGTTGGGTCTTGATTTCAGGCTCAGCCCACTCGGATCATTAAAAATCGTTCAGGGGCACGGCGAGCTCTGAAACCGTAGAAACTGTGCGTTGAAATGCAGAGGTCTAAATGTGACAGGCGCCCGGAGCGCACATTATGGCTGAGTGGGGCATGAGCTGCAGCATGTGGTCACGTATTAATAATGAACCGGGGCAGGAGCACGACTAAAATATCACCAGCATTGTCACCATCCCAGCTGAGCTGCACTTGAAATAGATGCTGCATGAGAGCTGATCTGATGGGAGGCTGCCTTCATCTCATTTGGAGGGTTTCTGAAGGCAAATGAAGGAGTTGATTTACGGTTTTAGCTGATTTTAATTTGAAAAAAACCAATTAGATCACAAGTTGTTGCGCTTTCTGCTCTTACGTCTTTTTAAGCTATTATTTTATTGAGTAAATTAGGAAGTTTATCACAGAAAACTATAAAAATGTCTCTCAATTGATCATCTGTGTTAAGTTTAAACATCAGGGTGTAAAAGGCTTGAATTTAGGTGAAAACATGATTTAATCATATTTGATCTGAGGAAGTCCTTCGAAATTGACCCACAAACCAGTTTTTTTTATTTTATTTTATTTTTGTAGTTAATATTATTATTTAAGAGCCATTCATTGTGAGGCTCATTTGAGATCATACCTTAATGCTAAATTATTATTTTATTTAACTTTAGTTATGCTTAGCTGGACTTTTACGCTTTTTCATATAAGTGTGCATTATTTATTTTAGCGCAAATAAACAAGCAGATAATTACATAATGAGTCATTATATCAGCTGTTATGACAAGCCTTAAATGCGCCTAATTATTGTCCGAATTATGTGTTAATTTTTCATTTACTGTGTCTCAAATTCATTATTTGATCAATACTTTCAGTTTCACATTTCTTTATTTAATCAAATTATTAACTCACTGATCAACAGCCTCAGAAAGTGTAACAGTAAATTTACTAAAATGTGTGGGGAAAACAGATTAAGTCAATTAAAATTGTCATTTTAACATTTGGATTCATCCCGATTTGATGCGCTTTCAGCGTTATATGATTAAAAACACTGTTTTCATTATTGTTTCATTCCAGGTATAAAAAGATGTAAGAGTAAAAATTAGAGTTTAGATTAAATATTGGTGGGAAAATCTCTTTTAGCAATAAAACACCTGAAAACCTGAAGTTATTTAACTTTCTGGTTTAAATAATTAAAATCTTCTGCAATCTCAGATCGTATGAATGAAAAAATGTTTCCCGAGTCTAAAAGTGTGAAACGTCTGGTGCCTCGGAGCTCCTGAGCCGACAGCGATTGAAAAGACAAACGCGCCAACTAGTGTCAAAAAGACGCATGACGCACAGTCTGCAGGGTGCGCCGTCATTTCAGCACCTTTTCCTAATGAAATCAGCCCCTGGCGCGTGCGCGCGCACACACACACACACACACACACACACACACACACACACACACACACACACACACACACACACACACACACACACATTAGTACAACTTGCTGAGTGTTTGATGTGGAGAAAATTAAAGCCATTCGCGTTCTTGTTTTGATTTTATAATTTAATCCCAGATAAATTAATTACAGTGATAATAATCAACCCAAAACCCCTAATTTCACTTTATGAATCATTTTTATTTTTATTATTATTATTCACTCAGATTAAAGTTATGGAGCCGCCAGACATATATGATTAAGTTAAACCACAAGAATTCAGAGTTTCTTTAAAATCAACTCGAATAAAAATAAGAATTTTTATCAGGCTTTCTATATGTCAATCAGCTTTTCCTCTCTGAGATTCCAGGATTAACGTGAAAAACCGTGAAACTACTTTACTAAAATGTTTTTCGCGCGCGACTGGTGCGTAAAAGTTACAGGTTTTGTTATTTAAACGCACTTAAAGACTGCTCAAATAGCACCTTTATTAGAAAATACACATTTCTAATTATATCAGTGTTTCCTGGTGTATCTGCAGCATGAAACAACCCAAGACCAATGGTAAGTATCAATAATTCAGCTCGTGTGTGACAACAGGGCAGATCCGCGCGCTCTGATTGGTTTCCTGAAGCCCAACCCTGCAGACTCATTGGTTCAAATCAACCACTGAAGTCTGAAATGACTCAAGTAAAGTCATATCGCTGCACTCTGCAGGCTGCTCGCGCTCACGGCTCCTTCTCACCCACAGCCCTGCGCTCTGAGGATAACTTTTAAAGGAACTGGAGCGACGGGATCCGTGCCCCTTTCATTTTTTTCCCCAGAATCCCGTTTTTGTTCTAGAGGGGAACCAGGATCAGCCTGCAAGAACTTGTTTTAAGGAGACCCGCTTTCAGATTCTTGAAAAAGTTGTCTTGCGTTGATTTTTCAAGCGTTGAGTGTGGTTTAATAGTAACATCTGAGGAGGCGTAGCTTATTTTGTGGGTTTTAGGGGAGAGATCATGTAAAGTTCTACGGGCAGCTGGATTAAAGTTATTTTTTGTTGCAGATTATTAATTTTAAATAGTTGTGTGAGGCAGGATCAGAAGTGAGGCTGAACCAGTTGTTGGTGTTGATATCTGGTTAAGTGTGCGGTAGATGAGCGCGCTGATATAATTCCGCTCTGCAGACTCTGGGGAGATTCCTTTTGCACGTTTTTATTCTTGCTGAAAAACAAATCCTGAGACGCTTCGAACTTCAACACCACGAGCAGATGAACTAAAAGACTCCCGAGTTTATTGTTCTTGCTGAAGAAGCGACTTTTCCGGTTTTTGTGCGCTTTCGTCTCCATCCTTTTACGCGCAACGGCGTCTGGAGGAGAAAAAAAAACAGTTTTCCTCCTAAAAGAGCTCGGTCCTTCTGATACCAAGCCAGGCAGGTGGCGCTGACCCAAGCTGTTGTGATGCATATTCCCGTAGAGCCGCCCACGACCAGACGGTTCACGCCGCCCTCAACGTCCTTCCCCTGCAACAAGCTTGGAGACGGTACCGGCTCCATGGCCACCCCGGGGCCTCTCCGGACAAGACCCGACACCAGGAATGTGGTGGACGTGCTGGCGGACCACGCAGGCGAGCTGGTTCGGACCGACAGCCCAAACTTCCTCTGCTCGGTGCTCCCGTCCCACTGGCGCTGCAACAAGACGCTCCCCGTGGCTTTCAAGGCAAGACTTCTCACAGTTTACTCCTAATTTATTCACTTTAGCGTCTTTTTCTGAAACTGTTAAATATGGAAGACATGTTTAAAACATAAAACTATTATTTTATTAGCTGATGTTCCTCTTAATTCTAAGTGTTTGTGTAAATAAGACGCAGCTGCAGAATTTGAGCTAACCAATTTTAAAATACAGATTATGAATTTAAAAGCTAACTTTACAAATAATAATAATAACGATAACAATAATAACGGAGTGTCTACAACATTGTATTGCTTTCATTTAATTTCTGTCTGAATTTGGATTCAACTTTCACAAGAACACAGAAAAAACGAGAGAAAAGTGAAACAAGCTGCTTAAACGCAAACTCGTTTATTTTGGGGGCATTTCTCCCTCGGATGTTGCAGAACTAAATTATTTGGCTAGGCGATGAAGATGGAGATTTCTTCTTGTTAATATGAAGAGCTCCGGATGCGGGTTTTACGTGCGGAGTGCGTGCGTGTGCGTTTGGTTTGGTGACCTGGAGCGACCGAACCAACCGCTTGTGTGGCTGTCTCTCCCCGCGCGCAGGTCGTGGCTCTTGGTGACGTGCCCGACGGGACTCTGGTCACGGTCATGGCCGGGAACGATGAGAACTACTCGGCCGAGCTGAGGAACGCCTCCGCCGTGATGAAGAACCAGGTGGCCCGCTTCAACGACCTCCGCTTCGTGGGCAGGAGTGGACGGGGTGAGCTAAACCACTGAAACACTCTCACACACACACACACACACACACACACACACACACACACACACACACACACACACACACACACACACACACACACACACACACACACACACACACACACACACACACACACACACACACACACACACACACACACACACACACACACACACACACACACACACCTAGTTTTTTTGCTGTTTAACAACAAGTCACGCGCGCTGCCATTTATGTATTATTAGAATAGACAATATTTCCAGACACAGACAGGAAAATTGGAACCACGATGGCAACTTTTTAAATAAAGATATTTTTATCCGTTTTGGTTTCTGAGGATTTCTGTAAAGTTAAAGAAAATCTGCAAATGATCCAGTTTTTGGTAAAACGGCCCACGTGCGTCTTCCCACACATCTGGCCTGCGTCACCGTGCGCACATGGATTATCTTAATCCAGGGGGATAGAAATAATTAGGGGTGTAGAATTTTTAAAAAGGAGGGGGGATTGCATGTAAAAAACGCGTAATTTCTGTCCAGGGGGGATTTTGTGTAATAGTCCGTCTCTCGTTCGGGAAGCAGGCCGGTTTGTTGTGTTCGGTTCTGGATAAAAACTCACACAAACAGGCCTCTTCTCAGGATGTTGTGGTTTCGCGCGAGGCTCCTGACTGAAAACTTTTCTACTATATCAAATAAATCACCACGTCTCAATGTTGAACAAAAAAGCAAATTGTTCGACCATAAAAGCCCGCTTTGTTTTTGAAATCTTAAAATAGAAAATACGTCTTTTCTATTATCAGATCACTTTTTTATATAATTAATGACCTGAGTTCTGGTGCGTAAAACGTTTACAAATTAAATAAATAAATAAAAGCCTTATTTGATGTAACTGGATTTGCGCCTCTTTATTTTATGCGCAACGCAGCAGCTTTTCCTCCAGCGTGCGAGCAAGTTTCTGTCATTTGAAACAATAAACTCCTTTTTCATGTTGTAATCTGGAATATTCTCCCTATAATTAAATCATACCAGCTGTCCGGGTTAGAGAGTTTATTTTATTAAACTTACCAAAGCTGTTTTTTTATTTAGCAAGCAGAAAATTGCTTTAAAAATGTTTACATGAATTATTTAACTCACTAAATTAAATTTCTCATGTTTCCACTGTTGTTCTGCAGGAAAGAGCTTCACTCTGACCATCACCGTGTTCACCGGACCCCCACAGGTGGCCACCTACCACCGAGCCATCAAAGTCACCGTGGACGGACCCCGGGAACCGCGCAGTGAGTACACCAAACGCGTTATTGTCATTTCTGGATGCATATTGTGGCATGCATCGCTGCAGAGCATATAGTGTGGGCTTCTGAAACATTTTGCACGAGTTAAATAAGAAAAGCAGATCTGCAGAATTTATGTTTGGATTTGGGGTTGGGATGAAACTGAGGAGATGAGAGGCTGAGATTCCCCTCCATCCTCCCCACCTGAGCTGGTCAAAAGGGCCTCACCTGCCTGGTCTACACTCTGGCTGGGCTCAGTGTGCTGGAGCTGAGAACTGCATTCTCCTGTGGTTCAAAGCACAGATTAATCGGTTGCTGGATGGCAGAACATGTACGTGCATTTATTGTGGGGCTCAAAGATAGATGGGATGTGTAGTTTTTTATGATCATTTCTGTGAAGGTGTTTGTGCTTGTTGTGGCTGCAAAGATCTCTGCACATAGTGGATAGCTGTGGTTTGTGTGGAGGTGGACGCCAGGGACAGGGTGGATTTAACCCAGTCAAAACAGAGGGCAGCTATGGAGGAACAGGGAGAGTGGTGGCAAAGCGTCACATGAGAAGGGCTGGCACGCTGGAGCGAAGGGGCATCACCCCCCGGTGGAGCTGGGTGCTATTTGCAGAGGTAGAAAAGAGAAGAGTGACCGCAGAGGGAGAAAGGAATTACTAATAAACACTGTGTGTGTGTGTGTGTGTGTGTGGTTACAGTTTGATATAAAATAGGTTCCTAAAAGAGTGTGTGTGCGAGGTTTGAAATAACCCAAAGCAGTCTCCTGTCTGTCTGCACATTAGGACTCCAGCCGAGGCGTCAGAGTGGCCGTGATGCTTTCACACTTGAGCTGGATGCTATAAAGTGACACTGTTTAATTTGGGCTGGAGGGAATTTAGGGCTCCATTAAAAAAGGCCCTGCTCCACGTTGCAGAGAGAACAAACTTCTGCAAAAGCTCGTTGAAGAATGTATTTGCCTCCCTTCGAGGCTCTAATAACAGACGAGGACAGGATGATATTTCAGCTCAGTTTGGAGCATTAAAAAAAATTACAGCTTTCAAAATAGAACTTGCACGAGAAGCTCTCGTGTTAAGAGAACATTTTAAAGAGTTATGTTCCAGCAGATGCATAAAAGAGGAACACTCTACCATTCAGGCACTAGAAGAGCCATAGAAACAATCAGACTCTTCTTGTGACCAGAAGGCATGTTGGACGGTGTTGCAGACACATAAATTATGTCATCGTGTCAGGGACAGTTACTTATACCCCTGACTGGTTTCTGATCGTCAACGCCAGGCCTGAGCTGCTCAAACAGCCTGGAGCTCCAGTGGATCAGCTCACCTGTCCACAGCCTGCAGGGGTCTACCTTTACAGGCTGTTTGTGTAGGGGCCTTTGCATTTGCATGGCTGCCAGCTGAGCCATGGCAGTGGAGCTGGCACCCTGAGGGAGGGGGGTTATTAATGTTTGCTGATCTAGTCGAGAGAACCTGACGGACAGGACTGCAACGGTGACTCGCCTGGGGCGGCGTAACTAAGAACATCCCTTCTGAAAACACCGGAGCGGTACAACTTGTCACACAGTTGTGTATTTTCACATTCTCTCACACACAGACATGTAAAGCAAACCAGTCACTTCTGCTCCTGAACAGAAAGCGTGTTCAGCGGAGTATTTTTGTCTTCCATTCTGCCGGTTTCCTCATCACACATCCGGCATTCGTCATCACCCCCCCCTCCCCCCCAGATCTATCTGTCATATTTTATTATCACACTTCTGCTGAGCTCAAACTGGAAACTCGACGCCTCGAACTGCTGAAGCTCTATCTGTGATCGTCAAGAAGAGCCAAACAGGTGGCTGACGTGTCGAGTCTCTTTCTGATCGCCTCTCGGATCAGATGCACCGCAGGAGTTATTCTCACCAAACAACTTCTATGTTTTCTGAGTTCTGTTTCTATTCTCACACTTCGATGAACGTCGACGGTCACCTGTTCACCGACACAGGGAGGAGCTTTTCTGAATGTTTAGTCACTGAGAACTCCTTGCTGTATGTGAGAGCCAGAAATATCCTGAACCTGTAAAAGAATGTGCACAGCTTGTAGGGATGGGTGGAAGCCGGCATTTGAATATTTGAGTGAAACACTCACATAAAGTTGTAAATTAAGGTTATTCACTTTACAACATCAATATGGAAAAAGTAGACGATGCAAATTCCAAAACAGGTTTGTAGTTCCTGTTATTTTCTCTAAAAGGAGAGAAAGTCACGTTTTATCATCATTTCTGTGCTGCCTCATGGGTCTCAACTGCATTTATAAACCCTCCAAACGTGCAAATTCGTTTTCTGTCAGTGTTAAAATGAGCCGTTTCTAAAAGTCCCCCATTTGTGACATCACAAATGGGGAAATTGGAAAGGAACCCCCTCTTATGTGCAAGAGAGAGCCAATGCTGGAGGAGCAGCGGCCCTACTCTGAGCCCCTCCTGGATATCAGAGCTTCTCAGCCTATAGCAGCTTGAGCAGGGTATGGGTGGGCGTGGCCTGATCCTGCTTGTTTTCTTAAAGTGGCAGAGCCCTGAAATGGCTCATTCTGACGGGTATTGAAAATAACAAGAATAAAACTGCTGAAATTGCTTTGTGAGATGTTTTTATGCAGAGAACTTCATATGACTATTATACCTAAAGATAAAAGAATCATACCATGTCTCCTTTAAGTTTGGATCTGGCTGACGAGCAAATCAACCAACTTAATTTAAATGGGGCTCTAAACAGCAAAACCCTCTAGTGTAACTAAACTTCTGTAACTCGACGGTATTAAAGTATCCTGATTCTGGAATACGATACTCATGAATAGATCCTAACCACTAACATCACCACACGGTGTGTGTAATTCCTGCAAACAGAGATGAAGGGGATACACTTCACCACCCACAGGCCTGCACATCCACCCAAAAAATAATAATAATCACACGAGCACCCGGGTGTTTTGTGGCTCTGTTTGCTCCGCTGGGTGTGTTCGCTCCAAGAGGAGAATGATGGGCGTGGGGACAGCATCCAGTGGGTGGGGCGGGGTGGGGTGGGGGGGTTGATTTTATTTGCATTTGGCACACAGACTGTACAAAGTATGCAAATAGACAAACAATGCCATTTGCTGTGTTGTTTTTCCCTGTGATATTGCAGTCTCTCTGCAGAGGAAACACAAAGGTAGCATGCGTGTTGATGCATTTGCGTGTGCGGGTGCTCGGCTCATGCACCTGCCAGGTGCTTTCGGCCCCCGCCGAGACACGCCCATGCTCCACAAATCACATGAAAGGCTGCCCCTCGGTGCGAATTGCTCTCTCAAAGGCAACTTTGATGTTTTGAAAGTGGAGACGGGCGTCTTTGAAAGAAAGGCCTACAGGTGTACGAGTGCCAAGGGAAGGGGAGGGGGTTCAGCAGCATGTGTGACTCTGGGTGCTTTCCTGACTACTAAAAGGCTCTCTTATTAGATCCACAACATGAAAAGACTGCGCTCACAGATCATCTGGATGATCAAACTCATGATCGCTGCGTTTATGATTTGGTTGAGAAGCTGGTTTGTCCCAAATGTCCCTTTTTGACAGACTGAGATAAATAAAGGGATGTTTTTATTGTCCTGTTAAAGAAAATGAGTCTCTCTGGCGTCTGCAAGGGTCACGTCAGACAAATCACGCAAAGGTTAGAAACACAGCAAACACCGGACCGCTGATAAATCCGCTGGAATGCTGCGGTGCATTCCCAACAGTGTTTGGCTTGTGTGTCGGGATGAAACAGTCCCCACATGCTGGGGTTCAAGGCTTGTGATTGGTGGCTGCAGACATGCAGGATCTTTATTATTTAATTTTGTTGTGATAATTATTCTGGATGGTGACAATCAGAGTGTGTGTGTGTGTAAGAGATGGAGTCTCTTTGACTACTTTTGCCACCTCACCCACATCTAGAAGATCCCCTCTATGGGTGACACACACACACACACACACACACACACACACACACACACACACACACACACACACACACACACACACACACACACACACACACACACACACACACACACACACACACACACACACACACACACACACACACACACACACACACACACACACACACACACACACACACACACACACACACACACACACACACACACACACACACACACACACACACACACACACACACACACACACACACACACACACACACACACACACACACACACACACACACACACACACACACACACACACACACACACACACACACACACACACACACACACACACACACACACACACACACACACACACACACACACACACACACACACACACACACACACACACACACTTCTGCTAAAGAGGAAAAAGAACATCATTGTTTAACATTCTGCGAGGCTCCTCCTGAGACACGCTCCACGGCTTAGGGGCTGAAATAAATCCTAAAAACTAAAATTTCCACTCCATATTCGTCGACGCGAGAATAAAACAGCATGATGCGATTCATTCATGTGCAGAAAAACCTCGGATTGCACCTTTATTTCACTCTGATGATGTGAGCTGCCTCTGCCTCCCTTCTGAACTCAGCCAGGCATCTTTCCTGCGTACTCGCCCACGACGGGAAGTAAAATGCCCACTCTGTGTGTGCTCCCTCTTCCTTATTTACCCTGACCCAAACAGGAGGGAGCCTTTACGGCGTTTCTGGTCTGATTCAATAAAAAAATCTGCATTTAGAAGAAATTAAATGCCCGTGAATGGGGGTGTATTTTTCTATCCTGCTGAATTATGTCAATAAACCGTCTTCTGTGTCGGGACAGTGGCTACGGGGGTGGCTAGTGGTAATAAAGGCACCTGCTGGTTTTTGTACCACCGTCCTGTGGTCTGGGTGTTTGTTTCTCTAAGCCTTCATGTTTAGGAACAGGGAAGAAAGTTACTGGAATCCCTTTCCTTTGATTTTAAGTGCAGAGAAGGTTTCAATCCTCGTGTTTAACCTGGAATCATCACAGAGAA